AAAAAAAAGAAGAGAATTTCTTAGCCAGAGTTCCTCGGATTTGGGCGGAGTGCTGGTGGAGGCGTGGAGGTGGTGGAGGCGTGGAGGTGGTGCTGCAGAGACGTGCTCCGATTATGTGAGTGGTTCGGACTGCGTGCTCGTGGGACAGGAGCGGCGGGAAGGCGGTGCGAGAAGTGTTTATAGCTTTGGCTTTGGCTTTGGTCGTACGCATGGATTCGGGTATTTCCTGATTGCCTGGCGAGAGGAGTCTCCGTCTCAGTCTGAGTCTGAGTCTCTCCCTCCATTACCAACACACACACACACACACAACACAACTTGCATAATAATTGACAGTTATAAATTTTACTTGACTCAAACATGCGCCCAGGGAGTGACTCCCAAATGGGTGCAAGCAAGACAGAATATATCCACAGGCAGGGAGACAGACAGAGAGCGAAGAAGAAGTGAGAGAGATGGGGAGATGGGGAGGTTGAGGTGTGCCTAATTCTTTTGGCTGTTGTCCAGTTTTCGGAGCCTACTTGAGCTACCGGCTATCGCCCCATGCCTACCAGGGCATTCCACTCCGCTCCACTCCACACATCGCTGACAGACCCATCAGAGCCAGGCGGGAGCCCTATGCAAAAGCTCACGTAACTCTCAGGAAGGTGCGCAGGGAGGGCAGGGGTGAGGGAGAGAGAGAGAGAGGGAGATTCGGAGACACACTAAGGGAGAGCCTACAGCCTACGTGCAGAGCCTCTTGGAGCTGGAGCTCTCGCAGCCAGAAACGCCAACAACGATACGATTGGAGCGCATTAACATTCCGCGTCGGCCACTCCTGTTTGCGCACATCTGTATGCAGATACAGATACTGTAGGCCAGGCCAGGCCACAACAGGCCACACCAGGCCCCAAACAGCACTCGACATGTTGAATAACAGTTGTTGTTTTGTACGCTTTTATCGGCTGCCTTTCTGTGCTGTGTGCTGTGTGTTTTTATTAAAATTTTATGATTTTTTGTACAGTACATAAAAAAGAGTTGCCTGGTAGGTACGAGGTAGGGTAGGTACCTACCTGCAGTGTCGTCTCTCAGTCTCTCTGTTAAGTTCCTTTTGATACAAATACACACACATAGCTACGCACACATATGCATTCATGTACATGTTTTTATGTACTTTCATGCTCGTATTTGTAGTTTTTCTTTCTTGATTTATTTTCGACTCATGAAATGTCAATTTGAATGTCAAGTCATTCGCTCGAATTGATTCGAACTTTCGCAGCTGATGCTGATGCAGGTTATGCCCGAAATGCTTGTCTAGGGGGTGCCAAAGATCGGGCCAAAGGCAGCGTTCCCAAAAAAGCGTTCAAAAAGGGGAAGGTAGGTCTCCCGCCACATCGCTGCCTTTTGTGTGTCTTGGCTCTTCTGCTCTCTCTCTGCTGCAATTACCAAATTGCTCGCTAGTGAAGGTTTAATCATCAGCATTACGCTCATAATAAGTATCGTGACCTTCGTCTGTCCTTCGATCGTCACCCCACCCCCCTTCCTTCCATGGGCGCTCGTTCCATCCTGTTTTTTTTTTCGGGGCGCCTCTCAACTTCTGACCTCGAAGCGGCCTGGATCGCTTCCCCTGCTGCTGCCCCTGCAACTTGACACCTCACAAACATACCTCAGTGACTTGGCCTTCTGCTGCATAGGGGTTCGTCATACGCTTGCACTGGGTATTGTGATTTATCTCCGAGAGAGCCCAACCAAACCCATCATAATGTACAGCTCACATGATTCAGTTGAATTCGCTATAGTTTTGAGCACTTTGGCATGGAGTTAAGAGCTATGCAAAAGGGTATTTCTGGGTAGCCTGAAGCCTTCTTTTCTTGTTTTATTTTCGGCTGGGTTGGGGTTTTTATGTCCGGATCGTGGCATCCATAGCAATGTGCTTGGCTCGCTGGTAACTTGATCAACGTGACCTCGGCATCGCTCGACTCATTCTTCTTGCCTCATTGCAGGGTCGCCTTCTCCCTCTCCCTCTCCCGCATTGCGCCTCCTCCCAGTTCTTCTCCTCAAAATTCCCCATCAAGAGCCTCACTTGAAATTCAATCAGTTGCTGCAGCTGCTTCCAAAACCCCCAAGGCCAGGCGAGAAGGGCCCCATTAAGGAGAGACGAGAGACAGCAGCAGCCCGTTGGAGAGGAGGGGGTGGGGCGGGGCTAAAGGGTGTCGGGTCCCTAATTAAATGGACCTCCCATTAAGGACTACTTGTCGGCACTTCCCGGTTCGCTGCACTCCCTCGATCGAGGCAACACATTTTCATCAGACAGGGAAGACAGGGAAGGATGGAAATAAAAGTGAAAAAAAATACTGCGTTCCAGTTTATCGATCAATTTTAATTAGAAAATCGATCGCTCAGTCGCTCAGGTTGCAAATAATACAAAACCAAAGCAAGAAATAGCCCAAAGAAATGAGCTGAAAAAAAATAGAAGCAGATAAAAAGCAAAGGCAAAAATGAAATGGAGAGCCAGCAAGAAAGATGGAAGTGAAAGACGTAACAAGAGCTGCTTGGACCAAGAATGAAGGGAAAATATAAATATAATATCCCCAAAACCACAAAGGGATCAAAGCGTTACAAATAGCGCCACTGCTACGACTAACAGATATCCTGTGCTCTGACAGTTTGCGTGGACTCCTCACCGTTTTATTGTGGAAATAGCTAAGGGAGAATATTCCCACAGCCCAACGATAAGTCAGGAGATTGGGAGAGCTAGTTGTGCCTATAGCTCTGTTCTTTACTGACGCAGATAAATCCCAGCAGAGAAATAAGCTAACCAGAGCCAGTCCACACCCAAGGAATTTACGCACATATGTACCTACTGCTACTGTAAATGGACAAACATATAATCCCTTGAAATCTGCGAGTGTAGGGTACGAAAAGGTGTCACTTGGACACTGGCCTAAACCCCCCGTCACACAGGGTGGAGTCGCCTGTTGATCCGCCAGCTGCAGTACAGTACGACATGGCCCGACATATATGTACATACACACTCGTACATACAAAACGCAGGCATTTGGCGGTTGGTCAGGGGGGGGGCGAATTGCATAAATAAGCAAATGAGCAACGGTTAATCAATAAGCTCACAGATTGGATAATACTCGTAATATCTACATCCGCAGCAGCAGCAACAGCAGAGCAGCAGTAGAAGCGGTGGCCAGAGAGAAGGGAATGTTGTGTGCCCTGCTAATTGCAGTTGGGGCGGCCAAAACGGCCAAAGCGGCGAACGCTGCGTATGTGTAATGCGGTTAATCAACAAAAGACGACGGCGACGACGACGACGTCGACGAACGGCCTTGAGACCAGCTGATAACCAGTTTGTGGTCTTATGAAATAGCCAAGAGGAGATCAGCAGAGAAGCGGCCGGAGCCAGAGCTGCTCGTGGAGAGTGCCAACGAGCTGGTTGGTATCCCCCCCAAATGCAAGTGAATGTCGAGATGTCGTTGTCGATGTGGATGGGGTGGGTTTTGCCCCGGCCAGGCCCGAAACCGAAACCGAAACTAGTGCAGTTTTTTTTTTGTTTTTGTTTTTATTCACCCTTTTTTTTTTGCTGCGAGTTTTAAGGTGAACTTCCTCGTTGCCAACGCCATTGAAACGGGCCACGGCAGGTGTGAATGATTTAGTGTTAACACGGCCATAAGCAAACTATACTCCTGCTGCTGCTCGATCCAGCGATCCACAGACCCGCCGATCCGCCGATCCAGCGATCGATCTATAGCTCGGCTCATTCTCTATCTACGCTGCGGCCGACCCACGAACCGCCGTCGATGGCACGAAGTCCAGTCGGGTCCCAGTGGCAGCGCCACGAAGCGCCAGTCGGATCGAAGTGGCTGTCCCCGAAGTCACTGCGCCTCAGTCGACGCCGCCATCGGCGGGCAGCGAACGGTTTTCAATGGTTGAGGCGTTCATTATTTTGCCATTTCACGTTCAGCTGGCAGCGAAATCGAAAGTGACTGCTCTCTCAAGATCCCAGACCGAAGCGGAGACCGAGACCGAGACTGAGACTGAGACCGGAGCCCCCCTCGACGAGACGACCAAGAGGAGACACTTCCAGTTCAGGGTACCCATATCCTACCAAACTGCAGCCTTACATCTGTATATCCAAATCTGTGGCTGTGTACCTGTGTGTGTGTGTGTGTGTTTGGGCAGGAGTGTGTGTTGGATTCGTATTCATATAAAGCCAGAGGTCCATGCGGATCAGGCCTGTCATTCGAAGCAGCAATCGGAACCGGCAAAAAGTGCAACGACAAAATATAAATCTTCTATTTTTTTAACCCTCTTTTTTTTGCGTAAGTTTTTTGTTTTAGTGTGTTGAATTAAGTCACACCAACACACAGAGCCCGCCCACGCATATATGTTTATGTGCAGACCCACAGCACACCAGAGGGATATAGAGACAGATCCGATAGGCGCCTGTCAAACAAAAGAAATAGATACAAAAGAGCACACAAATAGCCCCCAACGAGAAATAAAAAAAAAAAAAAACGATAAATAAAAAGTGAAAAGTGAAAGTGCAACTCAAAAATGACCAAAAGTGAACCACATTTACAAGCAGCAAGCAGCAACAAGCAACAAGCAACACACAGCAAACCACCGACAAACAACCCCCCAACCCCCCAACCCATAGCAGCAGAAGTGTGGCCAATACGTTTAAACTAAATCAAAAGTGCATAACAATTAACAATCTTTTCGAAAATCAATTTCTGTCTGTCTGTCTCTCTATTTTGTGTGTGTGTGTGTTGTTTTTGTTTTTGTTTCTGTTTCTGTTTATGTTTTTTTGTTCGTTTGTTTGTTTGTTATTTATTTTCCACACACTCTTTTATTTTCGTTTGAAGCTGAAGCCAAATAGCTGTTGACTTTCAAAAGTGTCAATAAAATTTATGTTAAAAAACAAGTTGATTGAACAACAACACTTGAACGGCCAGCCGACACAGCCAGCAGCCAACAGCCAACAACAAGGAGAGCAACCAGCAAACCAGCAAACCGCCAGTGCCGAACCGCCGAAAAGGAGCCACCAAAAATGCTGCTCAAAATGTAAGTATTCAAAAAGTATTCACTCGCATTCAAAAGTGAAATTTTATTCATTTAATTACACATTAAACCGGCTCAAGGTCAAGCTACGTTTCGGCCCGATTATGTAAGATCTTAATCAAACGCAACTCTGAATATCATAATCATCATTTTTGTTTTGTGGTGGGAAATGAAATTGATCCAAAAAATGCACACAGCTTTCTTTTAAATTGATTTATATTACACCAGGAAATGCATTAAGCAAGCTGCTTGGAAAATCTACAGAAATAATGAGTAAACTTATTTATTGCTTCAAGCTTCAAGCGGCTGAGATCTGTGGGAAAAGTTCTTACTTTTAGTTGCTGCAATATTAGGCATTTTCTTGATGGGAAATTAATAAGGATTAATTTGCTAATCGAATGGTTGGGCTTTCCTTTTCTTGAAGTTAAAACAATTTGCGAATATTGAAACAGTTTTATTTCGTTTAACTGGCGAAATGTTTTCACATTCAGCTATACGCTTGTGTTGTAAATTCTTTCGCTAAAAACTTTTGGAAATTTAATCACCACAAACACAAAAAAAACAAGCTTGATACTGTTAGCTGCATTAATATTTAAATTAGTTGGCATTAAACGGAGGAAATATCTAGATCTTATACTCGATCTTTGGAGATGAAAACCTTTAATTGATTTGATAGATTCTCTCCCCCCCGCTTCCTTACTTTGAAAGTAAAATAAGCCCATCTCTTTTGCTTCCTATTATATGCTGAATGCTGAATAGTTCTGAGGGTAATTCCACACATTTGGCAGTGTGCCCTGAAATTAACATAAGAAATTATTTGGATTGCAATTTGTGTCTGAATTTATTGGATTGTCCAATGCAATCTTTCAGCTATGTACATTTAGCTGCCGATCAGTTACATTCATTGGAAGTTGGCCTGAGTTTGGCAGAGTGTTAGCCTTGGCCCGTGCCCGTGCCGTGTCCGCTAGCAGCGCACTCGCAGCTCTGATCTGCAATGGTCTGGTTTAGGTCTGGTCTGGTGTGGCCATTCAGAGACAGTCAGTCAGTCAGCCAATCAGTTGGTGGCCGAGTTAGTCGGCTAATATGCATGAAATGTGGCCGAGTCGAGGCGTGGCAATGAAGTTGCTTTTTATGCATGCGATTTTTATGCCAAAGGTCAACTCTGTGGAGAGGCTGCGGCACGGCGATCTCTCTTTTTCGGAAAGGTCAACTATGCAACAAAACTATGCAAAAAAAACTATACCCAAAATGGGGAAGGAGGTAGAGTCAACAAACCTTTGACGACGCATCCACTTAACAATGCAAAATTTATTTTACTTTACATTTCATGGCTGCTAATACTTATTGTTGCTATTTCTTGGCCGATGTGCCTGCTGCTGTTTTATTGTTATTACCGCTGTTGCTGTTGCTGTCGCTGTCGCTGCCGCAGTCGCCGTTGCTGCCACTGCCGTTACCGTCTTCAGATTGCCGCTTCACTGCCTCTCGACCAACGTCAATGGCCTGAAGCTGAAGTTTAAGTCGAAGTCGATGCCGATGCCGACTCTGCCGCTGTGCCGCTGTGCCACTCCACGCATGCGTCAAAAACAACAAAACAAAATGAAAAATAAAAAACGTTTCCATCTTTCTTCTTCTGCAAAACAGACATGCATTTGGCCGGGCCAAAAATGAATTGCCAAATTTTAATACAACTTGCATGCCACACCCAGACAGCACTCCTTTGATCGCTGCAGCAGCAGCAGCAACAGCTCCGACATGGCCTTTCCAACCAACACCAACTGGCCAAGACAATGGGGCAGATCTGAGAGGTGGATGTGGATGGTAATGCGAATGCCAATGATGGCCGGGCCCGGACCTGGGCACGTTACTCACTCACTCACTCATTCAGTCAGTCAGTCAATCGCCCACCACTTGCCACTTGGATATACTCATGGAGTAATCCTACACTAAATAATAATAATATATAAATGCAAGAGTGCTTTTAATCAGTCGTTCACTGCTGTGGGCATCGTCACAAGCCTCTTATTTTGAACTGCTGGCATCGGATATACATAGGTAGATTGATTCAAATTTAAGAACTGATAAAACTAAGCGAATACTTTGCATATCAATCGACAAGTCTCAAGGCTCAATGGGTCACAGCAGCTGAGCCTCACTTTATTTTATATATTAAATTCACATTGAATTGATCCCCCCTTGCGGATCGAATTATTTGTTTTGCTCTTTGGCAGGTATTACAACATAGTTTGGCATTTAGTTCAGGGGACTTACCGGTAATTAAACTCAAGGCAGGCCAGCCCTGATTGAAGCCCATTTCTTGGAACTGTTTTCGCGCATTCAATGAATCACAGAGAGACTCGTACCAGTGCGCATTTCTGACCAAGTTCAGATGCTTTAATTGAAGCTAACAAAATTCGCTTCGATTGGTCGCATGAGTCAAAGACTGGAACTAGCCTTGTTCTCAGTTGGCTTTGGTTTCTTCTGCGCAACGATTGATTTGTGATTTGTGAACAAGTTTAAGCGGAAGCAACTGAATTTAATTTAATTTAAGTTAAAGAAGAATCGAATGAGGCATAAATACGATGCGATACGATACGAAACGAAGTATATGTAGCTATAATGGTATGTCCTTCTATTCTTCGGACTACTTCCCAATCCCTTCAATGATCTGTGCGTAAAGGTCAAGGATTGCAGGCTCAAATCATTCGATTCCAGCAGCCCACTTTAAATAGTTTTGTGGCAGTTTCAACGTTTAAGCAGCTCAGTTTATTCCTTTTATCCTCCTTTATTTCTTCCTCCTTTATTTTTATCCTTCTTTCTTTCCTCCTTTATTTCTTCCTTTCAATCAAAAAATTAAACTGCACCCGCCCTAGGCTCAGCTTCAGTTTCCCATCAGCTTGATGGTCTTTTTCTCTGGCTAAGGCAATAATTCGTTGGATTGTGGGGACTATTTTGTGATTGAATAAGACTTGGGTGCCGTTGCAGGCCACTTCCTTGGGACATCTCTCAGTGGTTGCTGGTTGCGCGGGTATTGCTGCAATTGTGAATGGGAAAACGTTGCCGGTGTGTGCGGTGTGTGGCGATGTGCGCATTGTCACCTCATGCATAACATGGCCAAAGCGGCGGACCCTTGTCCGAGAAGACACCAGCCACATACCGGCAATGGCAACATCAACATCAACGGTAACTGCTGCTGCTGTTGCTGCTGCTGTTGGGGGCTCCATTGGCAATTTGCACGATGTGGCCATAATTATAACTTTTCTTGAAGCCATAGCCATAGCCATAGCCATTGTTGGGCAGCCCGTTTTGGTGCTGTTGCAATTAAAATAAGTTGAAGTTGTCTACCTTTACAGCCAGCAACAACTGCCAGCAACTGCCAGCAACAACAAGGTGTTGCCAGTCTTGTGGCAGTCCCAAAACTTGTTCGACTCAAACAGCATATAAGAAGAGAAGCGATGGGCAAAAACAAAAAAAAGCGAACGGCCTGGCCGGGCCTGCGACTTGCACATAATTCAAAATGTTAAAAGTTATCGTCAAGAGCGCAACAGTCCGGGGCGATCAGCAGATCGGGAACTGTGGACTGAGACTGAGCCACGGCACAGGGACTGACTGCAGAGACTGACTGCAGTGACTGTGAATATCGAACACCAGGGGTCTGGTTGGTGACTGTTGACTGTTGGCTGGTGACTGTTGTGTCTGGTTGTGTCTGGCTGTTGTCTGTGGTCTGGTCTTGGGCTCGGTCTCGGATCTGATCGGGTTTTGAGTCAGCATATTGAAATGGGTTAACACCTTTTGTTTTGGAAACCTGTCCGTGCTGCGGCTGCGGGCTCCGGGGTTACCCTATGATTCCTGGCTCCAGTTTCCCGAACGACTCGCTGGAACGGTGATCAATTTGGAGCGTTTTGCGGTTTGCCTTGAGCATCAGGCTCTCCGCTCGCCACTCGCCACCGTTCAATCTCTCCCGCTCCCACTCTCCACCCCTCTCTCTCGCTATCTTTCTGGGCTTGCAATGCGGATTCGCAGAGCCCAATGAACTATTGTTGCTGGGGATAGTTGGAGTTGCACGATCGAAAAGCAGCAATAACACTGCTGCTGCTGCTGCTGCTGCTGGCTCCATGGCTAGACATGACCAAATCGCATGCGCAATCGACAATCGTCTCCCCGCCCTCGTCTCACAATCTGTTCGAATGTCTGTATGTCTGAGCCGGTGTGGCTAATGAAATTGTGAAAGGTTTTTCATGCCAGATTAGAGACGCCACATCAGATGAGGCAGCACAATGAGCCAGCCAGGCAGCCAGGCAGCAGTTGCAACTGGAGCTGGAGCTGGAACCGGCTAGCCATGATCGCTGATTAAGAGCACGCGCTCTCAACGATCACTTAACTCGAGCTGCTGCAGCTGGCAATGGGGTTTCGATTGGAGTTGGGCGATGCAGTTAGGGCTGTGGCTGTGGCTGTGGCTGTGGCTGGGGCTGAAATTTAAGCTGCAACTGAGGAGTTGCTTTAATTGGGTTAACCATTCGCTGACTCAACTGGGAAATGCTCTCGCCTTGATCCCAATAACTCAATTAAAGGCCAGGTGTCACATTAACCCTGCTGCTTAATAGATCTCACATGCCAGGAGCTTTTTTACTCCCTCTTTCGCTCTATTCTCTCTAGAGAATACTCTAATTAATTCTGTAACCCTCTTTTCCGCTTGCAGCTGTTTACTGGGCCTAGGACTGGCCATGCTGGCGACATACCATCCCGCCGCAGCTGAAGCTGTAGCTGCAGCTGCAGAGCCACAGCCACTGACAGCCACTCCAGAAGAGACATTGGCCAGCGTGCCGTTTGAGACGTCGCACAAGCACCCGGAGGCGGCGGCCCACAGCGAGGAGGGCTTCCACACGGCGCACCGGATCAGCGTGCGGGCCACCGACGCTGCCGACTACTCGATGAATCTGCTGCCCACCAAAGAGCGGCCCGAGCTCAATCCCGTGCTCAGCGCCCTCATCAACGAGGATGTGATGAAGAGCATCGAGGCGAAACGGGCCATCGAGGAGGAGGAGCTGGCCGAGGTGAGGCGCGAGATCGAGGAGGCTGCGCTGGCCGAGCTGGCCCAGCGGGCCACAGAGGCGCCAGTTCCACAGCTGACCACGCTGCCCGCGGCCACCAAGAAGATCGACAACCTGGACGAGGACGTGGTGGTGGATCCGCACGACGAGTTCGTCAACCAGAACTTTGCGCTGGAGAGCGCCGGCAGCGAGAACAGCAAGAAGTCCCGCATCGAGATCAAGAAGGGGCCCAACGGCCAGGACTACGAGTACGAGTACGTCTACTACTATGAGGACGATGCCGATGATGCCGCCGCCGCCCCGGCCAAGGCCGCCGTGGCGGATGCCGCCGGCGACGCGGAGACGCGCGGCAAGACACGCTACACGAACATCGAGCGCAGCACCCCGGCCAGTCCCAGCGAGAACAGTCTGCAGAGCGGCAAGGCGAAGGGCCGCTCGTCGTCGTCCGTCAGCGATGGCGCCGAGGACATCGAGCTGGAGCGGCTGCCGGTGAACACGCGCTTCCCCAGTCGCGGCAAGAACATCGAGGTGCCTCCGACGCCCGCCCTGGACTCGCTGGAGACGGCCGCCGAGCGGAAGAAGATCAGCGTGAAGCGGCCCAGCCTCGAGCTGGTCGACAGCGAGACCTTCAACACGGACGAGAAGCAGCAGAAGGGCTCCCGCAACGGCGACAACGAGCTGAAGCCGGTGATTGCCGTCGAGCAGGAGCAGGCCGCCGCCGCAGCAGCCAAGGAGCGGGAGCTCCAGAAGCAGGAGGAGCAGAAGAAGAAGCAGCAGCAGGAGGAGCAGCAGCAGCAGGCCCAGGACGATCTGACGGGCATTACCGATGAGGCCGAGCAGACGACACCCTCCATGGAGAAGGCGGCCCTCGACCTGTACGCCATCCTGACCAACGAGAACCTCAACAACGAGCAGACCACCTCCGCGGACGGGGCGCTGGAAGATGCCACCACCCTCAGCCCGGACACGGCCAGCACCGACGAGGACGACGCCAGCCTGACGACTCTCCAGGAGGAGCTCTCCTCCAGCAGCAGCAGCACCACCACGAGCACCACCACCACCACCACGGAGGCACCCACCACCACCAGCACCACGACGACGACAACGACGGCGGCGCCCTCACTATTCGGCGGTCGTCGCTCCGGACTGAACGGCCTGGCCGGACGGAATCGCTTCAAGTTGCGCGAGGGCGGAGCCGCAGCAGCGGGAGCGGGAGCCAGCAGCACGACCAGCACCACCGAGGCGCCAGCCACGGAGGCCACCAAAACGGGCAGAAGTGAGTATCGATCGGGCCTGTGGGATGCCCAGGAAATGCATTTTATATTTCTCTCCCTCTCTCCTCTCTCTCTCTCAGATCGCTTCTCGCGTCCCTCGATCGGCGGTCGTTCCCGTCCCGGGGCCCGCACCACTGCCACACCCGAGTCCAGCCCTGCCCCTGCCCCTGGTGCCGAGGAGGAGGTCGTGGTCGCCAAGGAGGTGAAGCCCGTCAGCTCAGGATTCGCACGCGGCAGACGTGAGTGGACGCGACCCACTGGGAGTGCCACTCCCGCAGGCGAATAATTCTCATTGCTCCTCCGCTCTTTGCAGCCCGCAATCGCTTCAACCTGCGCGGATCCACCACCAGCACCACCACGGAGAGGTCCGCCGAAGAGGCAGCCGATGCATCCGCCTCTCCGGATGCTGTGGCCTCCACCACAGCCCGCAGCGCGCTGCGCGGACGTCCTGGCATTGGACTGCGAGGACGCAGCCGCACCACCACCACCAAGGCGCCCGCAGCCGAGGGATCCAGCGCCGATGAGGCCACCAGCTCCGAGGAAGGCAAGGCCGCCGCAGCCCCCGCCCCGGCTGCCGCTCCGGCGGAGGGTGTGCGCCCGTCGCGCTTCAATCTGCATCGTGCCGGAGGCAACCGCCTGCTGCCACGCGGCAAGCTGGGCAGGGCCGGAGTGAGCACGGAGGCGCCCAAGGCTGAGGCGGCGGCCGAGGATTCGGCGGCGGACAGCACCAGCCACCACAACGATGTGAAGGGGGCCGTGGAGGCCGCCGAGGGCGCCGAGAAGACTGAGGGCGGCGATGCCGCCGGAGCCCCAGCAGGGCCCGTGTCCGGCTTCAATCGCCTCAAGAACCGGCCGCGCCTCAACGCTCTGCACAAGACTGATGCGGCCAAGCCGAAGGCAGCCGCAGGCGCAGCCACCTCCCCGGCAGCGCTGGCGCCGCGCAAAATCAACCCGCTGCTAGCCAAGCGTCGTCTGCAACTGGGCGGTGCGGCTGCGGCAGCGGCTACCTCGACCACAGGTAGGAAGTGCCCCTGCCCCTGCCCTGCTCCACTTTTCACACTCTCTTCTGCTGCCTTTTCCACTTGCAGAACTGCCCGCTGATGAGGAGCACGCATCGCCGGACGGAGACTCGTCCGGAGAGCACGCGGCCAAGGAGGAGGCGAACGCCGGCTCCGAAGAGTCCGGCTCGGACAGTGCCGCCAAGGAACAGGACACAACAGAGGCCGCCGAGACCACTACCAAGCAGCAGGCCCGAGGCTTGGGCCTGCTTGGCCAGCGCCGTCGCCTGCCGCTGCGCAAGCCCGGCACAATTCTGTAAGACGGGACAGGATGCGACGACGACGACGACGACTAGCCCTTAAAGCCTGAGTGCAACCAGCGGCACAATCTCTGCCCTGGCAGGGCTCAGTGTCTGCCTCCTTTTCCAACCACTCGCCTCTGTATCCCATTAAACACTTTACGAGTCCTGGAGTCCTGAATAGAATACTCGTCCTACTGCTGGGTGGTTTCATGCGCGACATATGTATAACTCTGACGATTACGATATGTTCACATTAAGTTTCTCCTCCTCCCGCCCAAACCCCCCCCACGTCATCGGCCCTTGTCCGTTCCACGAACGCAATTAGCTTTGTACACATTACACTAATTACTATATTTGTACTTATAAATACGGAGATACTATTTAAGATCCTTCGCGAAGTCACCAAACGAGAGAGAGAGAGAGAGAGAAAAGAAAGAAAGAGCGAGAGAGTGCGAAAGAGAAGCGAAAGGAATGAAGGAAGAAAGGAAGGAAGGAACGAGGAGAAGATCTAAGCCACTTGTAGACCACTAAGCCGATAATGTAACTGCGATGCGAGCCGCCGGTCCACCCCCTCCCCAAAATGCTATAGCCGTCGCATCGGATATGCCCCGCATGGCAGCTACATTATCTATTCTATTTTTTTTGAGATACATTTATAAAGAAACGACTTTTAATTATATATTAAATAAAAACAAAAAACGTAAATCTACATAATTGTATTGTTTTGTGTATTATTCTTCTTGATCCATTCCATTGCATTCCTTTCATAATTTGCATGAATTTGCTCCCAAACGCAACTACTTTCTCGGTATTGCAAATACCGAGAGCTCTAAGATAATTATTGCTCGTTGCGCAATTTCCATTTCTCTCAGTATCTGCCACCCTCACACTCACTACCGCAGAGGAACACGCTCGACGTGCGCCGCTCCCTTTCTCTCGCTCCTTTCATCTTCTCTGAGCGAGTGCCTCAGCGCACACACTCGCTCTTGAACACTTGGGCCCACATAGTAAAAACTGAGACATGCGACAAGAAGAGAAATACAAAGGATACAGTGATGATACACTGAGAACAATCACGTGGGGGATTCGCAAGCAGCCGACACTGGAAATATTATTATCACACTATCATTGCATGCTGTTCCCCATAATGTTTTTATTGCTGGTCCCACTCTCTCTCCTCAATTGAAATGAAAATAGAAAATAGAAGAAAATCAAGTATGTTATTACTGTTATCAATGTATAATATTTTAATGGATATGCAGACATTACTCAGTCAGCGTAGTTCTTGGCCAAGTTTTCACTCCTCTCAACGCACTGACTGACATTTTGGGCCGTGTGGTACGACAAGTTTTTACCAGCCACGCAGCCGTAGCCCCACTACTTTGCCGCCTAATTTAACCGCGGGCCATTTGAGGTTACGACTGGGGCACTAATTCCAGTATATTTACTAAATGTCCTGGTAGTAAACGGTTCAATTAGCATGCTCTTTTAAATAATTCGCGGCGTAATAATATGAATCGAAACGCACTCCTAGGGGGTTCCATGAATATTTCATTAAATACCAATTCAGCAGTAGATTTATTTATAGCACTTAAAATCCAATTCTCTCAAAGTTTTAATTTTTTGTGAATTTTGTAAATTATTTAAAGCGCTCACTCAGTAAATTTGCTACGCCACCTCTTTCCGGCTTGGGCCCCACTGTGCTCAGCCCCGACTTTCGAATTCAGTTTCTGGTACCTGCCATTATATTTTCGTGCTTAATTGGTTATCAAAGCTGGATGAAAGCTCTGTCGGCGGTCCATGGCTCCAGGGCTATGAGGAGCTCCGCCGATGCCGCCCTGCTCTTATCTTAACCTTGACTCGCACAGCAGTTCTGTTCGCCGATCTCTGGCACTCTCGATTTCTATTTTGTTTCGTGCTGCCCAAACATTTACCTAGCGTCGGCTACCGCACCCCCCGCCCTGCCTGGCGTTACATAACATGGTCTGAGGCCCCACAACGAGAACGAGAACTGGCGGCAGTGGTTTGGGTGGGGTGTGGTGGGGTGGGGTGGAGTGGTGAGGGGGTTCTTCAAACAGCGGCAAACGGTGTCAAGACTCAGCCAGCATTGAACCGAATAAGCGTAGTGCCTCCCACGCCACCCACTGCAATATATCTGTACACATATCCAGATACATACAGATACGAGTTAGGCACACAGAAGTATATCTGCTTGCCGCATAAAAGCTGGGGGCATCGGATCAGGCAGCATTAGATATTCCCAACAGTTTCACCATGCAGTTGGCTCGGTGGCTCATTGTTGTCGCCGTATTCGGGGCAACGCTGTGCCGCATCGAGTGCAAGACCACCAGCTTGAACGTCGATCCAGCCATGCTCCAGCGCTGGAATCGCGCTCTGCAGGCCATCAACGATGCTGAGCGGCAGCGTCAGGAGGACAAGGTCCACCCCAGTGCTGTGCCAGAGGTCGGGGTCCGGCAGCAGCGGCCCAACGACAGGCGCATGAGATGGCGCAGCAACAGCAAGCAGCTGCGACTACATCGCAGGGAGGACTTCGAAGGTCGTGCCTACCCCACCACGTTCAGCTCCCAAGGTGATAATATTCGGAATCCGTCTTACCTCGATGTCGCTGATTTTGCGAATACTGAAGCACCTTGGTGGTTCAACTGAAAGTTGTTCCCCCCCCAGAATTTTTACTCTCTAGCTTAAAGTATTTATGCATTTTTTTTGTTTTAACTTAAGTAATAAAAGATAAAGTTATTGTTTATTCCTACGGGCATTTCTGTTGGGAGATCTGCTGAAATGTAGCTCACGGTACATGGGCGGGGAACAGATCGTACAGTCAAGGGACTTTGGCAGGAATCAGTATGTACTGTAGTGTATACATATTAGCCATGTTCCTGTAAATTAATTAATTTAATTATTTATTATTAATTAAAATGGCCTGTCCTATTGGAATTTGGAATATTTATTTGGAATAAATGCTGCATTATGAGACTTTCCTTTTTTTTTCTTAAACAAATCTTTTTTTCCAGAGTTTTACAGTAAAAATTACATTTTAAAATTGTTTTGATTTTTTTTTTAATTTAGCTGGCATTAATTAAATATTTAACTGGTAAAAATTTAAGAAGAGCTTTTAATTTTTGTTGTTTTTTTCCCTATTAAATGTTGAAAAAATACCATATCAAAATTACAAAAATTTTACTTGAAAAACAGAAAAAAAATACTCCAAAAAAAACGTACACCATAAAAACAAAAAACAAAAACGTTTAGCATTTTTTTGGTTATTTTGGGTTAAAAACTTGGCTTATATCCAATAACCGAACCCGTGCTTTCCCAAATACCTCAGACTGCCTTGGTTGCTGCCTGCCCTGTGAGAGCTTTTGTTTAGCCAAGACAGCAACCTGCAAGAGCAGACAGACAACTTTGCAGTACTTTAAGCGTTTGTGGCGGACCCGCCTCCGTTGTTGTTGCCCCTGCGATGTGTTTCAATTTGTTTGCTTTGATTCGTTCCGATTCGATTCGATTCGATTTGATAGCAAAGTGAAATGTTAGCATTGATTGATTGACTGCTGGATGGATGGATATCGGTTCGGAAATAATGGCACGGTACGGCAATGGTAACGGTAGCGGCATCGTTGCGTGGCCACTGTCCAGCCTTGTGGGCAGAGGGCCAAGATGGGGTGTGGTCGGGTCAGTCGGTCTGTTCCGAATGCCTCTCTGGCCAATTGCCAATTTGCAATTGGAGGCATTTCTCGCTGCGATCGAATTGAATTGGAAAAGCAAAGCAGCTCTAGATTTTGTTCCGAATCATTGTCAACCTTGACACCGGGGCGGGGTATACCGGTATACGTAATCGCCCCCAAAAAGTACGCGTACCAACAAATTAAGAGCAAACGCAAAGGCAAACCCAAACCCAAAGCGGAACTCGTGGCTTTGTGTCTATAAAGTTTGTTCGAAATTTCCGATTAGCAATTGGCCAACTGTTAAGTGGATTTAGCCAGAGTTGGAGCCCAGGCAATGCCATTTGCAGTGCTTTGGTTCGTTCGGTTGTTGCATTTTGGCTGTCGTCAAATGGGAAGGAAGCAGAGCGTGGCTGTGGCAAGGTCAATCGCTTAGCTCAGTCGGACCCATCCACCCAGCACCAGCAGCAGCACACACTGAGAGAAACTACTTACAAATAACAATTAAAAAATAATGCAAAAATATTCAGCATATAATTACGCTCAGAGATGGCAGTTCCATTAATTAATAAATTCCATGGGTTAGATTTACGCCCAGTGTAGGGCCGCAAACCTCCTTCGTCGCCGCTCTACAAGAACTTCGTTTAGCAGTTGTTCAAATAGGAATTAGCTGGCTGGCTTGTTCAGCTTCAGTTGATAATTATCAAATTAAATGTTGTTGCTGCCTTTCCATCTGCCATCACCAACAGAGGTTTTAATTAGCCAAGACAAAGGCACAGTTTTTATGCATAATTAGAGGCTTACAATTTGACTTTCAACACTCGGCACCGGCACCGGCACGGGCACTCGGCCACTGGTAGTCCTTCACATTGCCAAGCAGATAATGTTCTCGATCACAAAAAATGAATGTAATTACATACAAACATACATACATACATGTATGTTATGTACATCGGATATGATTACAGGGGAATGGTGCAGGTGTGCAGGTGTAGGGGAGATACACAGATTGGATTGGGCTGGTCTGGTCTTGGGCTAGACAAAGAGATCGTTTCACAATGATGATCGAATGAGACGCTCTACAGTCCCTCTACAGCATCTCTCCATCTTTCACTCTCTCTCCCTCTCTCTTGCTGTCTATTCTGTCTGTTCCATTTTTGCGTGTGTGAAGAGAGACATTTACATTCCCCCCCCCCCCGCGTCAGTACACTTTTGACAGTTGGATTTAAATACTTTTTAATTGAAAACTAATTGCCACAAGTGGAGTGGCAAAGCGCGACGACAGCTGGACGACATCGTTGTGACGTTTCCAGCTGGAAAACTCTTTAAGCCACTTTAATTGGCAGCAGCAGCCAAAACAGCGGCACAACAACAACTTTTCACCAGGAAATCGGCAAATGATCCGAAAGCCAAACGAGTCGCAACAACCAAAGGCCCCTCCCCCTACCAAATGCACGCAACCTCCCCCTTTCCACCCCCCTGAGCGGCAGCGGCAGAAACACACGGAGAAAAAAACATGCTGCGAAATGCAAGTGCATATTATATTACCTCATATCAGTAAATATCCAATCTTTAAGCCATAAAAATGATGTGTATAGCTCTGAGTTTCATTTTCCATTTTGTGGCATTTTTCACACATTTTCTGGAATTTCTTTATATGTACATATGTATATGTATCTATATAAATTTGAAACACGAACATCAGCAACGAAATACTATAAATGAGTATCTTGTGCCATTTTTGCAGTTAGTTTGTGATATTGGTTTTGTTTTTTTTTGTTTTTCTCTGTGCAGGCAATCGACCGGATAATTGCAGCTACCATTCGTTTATGATAACGATTAACTAAATTGTCGATATTTATTAACAAGATGCTCGATAAACACACAAGTTTCTTGGCTCAAGTGCTGTTTGTTAAACATATGTAAATACTTAATATGATAATTATTTATATTCATTAAGGCAGAAGTTTTTTATATGTGCAAATATCGTTTTATATGTGTGGCATATTTTTCATAGCTCCAATCTAGTGCAAACCGACTCACAGGTAACCCCATTCTCGGGCTCTTGGCAAACAGTTCTGGCAGAAATAACCCAAGCCCAGGCACAGACCGTAGAAAGAGTCAACAAAGCCGTTGGCCAAACGTGAGCTAGTTCTAGTTTCCGATCGCATATAAAACTCGACTCTTTTTTGGTCACAGTCAGTCACAGACAACTCTCGCTCTCACTCTCACTCTCAATTCCTCGTTCATCATGAAGTTGCAATGGCAGATCATTTTTGGCCTGATGCTCGTCTTCGCTGTGCTGGCATCGCTGGCTGTGGCCCAGCCCCTGGAGGAGGATGAGCTGGACGACTCCGGATCGGATGAGTCTGTCGCTAGTGATCCTGCAGCAGCAGAGGATGTCAATGTGCAGCAAGATTATCTCAATGTGGCGGACTATACCAAGGCACCGTCTCCCTGGTGGTGGAATTAGGTTTACTTGAGGTTGAACTGAGACGGGGAAAATGCTTAAATTATTCAGCATATTTATTAACTAATTAAATACCAGCACAATAAAAATGTTCCACCTAGCTGTTCGAGTAATTGCTTCATGACAGCAGCAGAGCAGCAGACCAGCAGAAATAGTTCATTGCGGTTGGACTTGTGGTGCGAAATTTTACCACTTGTTGATAGCACTGCAGTCCCATAACAGAGGACTGGAATGGAATGTTGCCCCACCGAACAATTCGCTGGTTTTGATGGCAAGTAACTCATCTCGTTTTATCTGTTGCATTCGTAGATTTCTTGTGGGCACTGATGCTCGAGGTGAAGGTAGGCTGAAAGATTTCTGCTTCAAGAAAGTCCTCTTACATTTGCTCAGTGTAAATGTACATATATGCAGATATTTAGATAGGTATGCAAAGCAATGGCATATCAATTCACGTTCGACTCGTCAAGTGTGGCAGTGGGAGTCCATTTTTTAGAAGTTTGTCATTTGTGCTCCGTCTGACTGATGGATGAACTTGCTGGAGGTGCCGAAAGGCAATTCCTATAACAATAAACCAAACCACAAACCAATCCATATATAAATTTACAAACAGTCTAGAAGGACAATGTTTTAGCTGTTCTCTATTAACAGAGTGGAAAGACGAGAGTGAGAAATACACCAGGGAGCATTTAGTAAACTTTTTGTGTCCTAGTGGCACTGGGGTATAAAGCTCCAGAGCGCTGTAATGCATTCCTTCATGGTTCATTCGTAGGCTAATCAGCCGAGCCAAACTAATTATGTTGTCCATTAGCTAATGAGATTTTACGGAGCCTGGGCCCGTAAATTTGGTCTGTTAATTATGGAGGTTTTCCTGCGGCCGAACGTGTTTATTTGCATATCCATAAATGGATAATGGCTAATGGATAAATCGAATTATCGACAATACGCGTTGTATACACGACATTGTTGTGCAGCTGTCGGAAACATCGTCACCTTAGCAGATCAGGCGATTAATAATCGACTACCAGTCGATTACCACATCGCGTATCTCGCAGAGTTTATGTGCTGTGCAGTGCAGGTTATGATATGGATATCCTAAGGAGAGCGCGCTGCACATGCTGCTGCTCTGCTGCTGCTGCAGACGATCGTACATTTCGAATGCAACAAGGCTGGCTGATTTATGCACTCCACCAGCACCAGCAGCTCCAGCATATCTGCTGTCCAGATCTTCGATTCGAGCTGCTACTTCTTGGCCCCGCGATGGTGTAACCCCCTACATGACATCATCCCAGCTTCCTCTACAACTGTTCGCGTGACAAGTCCACTTGCAGTAGCAAGCAAATTATGTCTGAGGTAATGCAACGAACCCCAACCCCAGCTCCAGAGGCAGCCCCAGAGGCAGCACCAGAGGCAGGCCAAGAGGCAGCTCCAGAGGCAGCACCAGAGACAGCACCAGAGGCAACTCCAGCCTTAATCCGATTCGTTGTCATAGCAAAGATTGTCCGTGTCGGTGATGTGCTTGGGTGGCATATGCTTGTAAGCAGGAAACCTGCGGGTCTCGGCTGCCGCTCTTGTCCGAATAAATCTGCCGCTGAAACACACAGCTGCGAAGCGGCCCCAGACATTGAACTTGAAATCAGTGGAAAATGCAGTCGCAGCTAAGGTTACGGGGAGTTGGGCAACGGGTTTGGCTCGCTCGAACCCCAAAATGGAAATGAAAATCGAACCAAAAACAAAGGAAAAACCATTGAAAATGGCAAATAAAAGTAAATATAGAAAAATGTGTCCATAAGTGGAGACTTGGAGGAGCAGCCGCCGCCGCCGCCGCAGTCCCAGACCAGAGCAGGCCCGGGCAATGTCATGTCATTAAGTTGCGTATTTGTTGTTGTTTGTTTGTTTGTTTTCCGCCCGGATTGGCTTTATCCTTAGCTTTGGGCTGTTGTTGTTGCTTTTGCTGCGGCTGCTGCTGCGAATGTTGCATAACTTTGGAAGCGTGTGGCAATTATGCCAAAGAGTGTGTGCGGATCCCGTGGTAACATTTGCCCACTTAGTCTTCGACCACTCGATAATGTTGTTTTGTTTGATTTCGTGCTGGAAAAACTCGTTTAAATTATTGGGAAAATTGTGTACACCAATAGCCAGCACACATAGCATAATGCGATCAAATCGGACACTGAACGGACATCGGACAGGAGGGACGGGTCGGAACGGTACGGTACGGGACGGGACTTTGGCTTTAAATAAATATAAAGTATATGTACTAATATTGTAGCAATAAATCATAGTTGATCGATACAAGTGCAATTTCTGTCCATGGCTATGCATTGCGTCGTCTGGCTTATTAATTGCCATTTTATTTAGGAGATCTCTCCTCTCACCACGAGCTGCAGGCGGCCGTGGGTTGTGCAACATTCGTACAGACAGCAGTCACATTAACAGAAGGAGTAGCAGCAGCAGCATCCACGGTAACATTAACATACTGTAGCAGCAGTAACAGACACAGACACTGCAGAGAAATTAACAGACAGCAGCAGCAACATTCACTGCAGCAGTAACATCCACAGATACTGCAGAGAAATTAACAGACAGCGCAGCAGCAGCATCATTAACAGACACAGCAGGAAAATCAGGCCCGGCAGGCACAGCAGCAACATGCCGTTAATTAATGACACGCACAGGTTGTGCCACGTGTGGCACCTTACAGACTCGACAGGCGGCCGAGAGTTATGCAACATCCACTGCAGCAGCATCAGTAACATTCACAGACACTGCAGCAGCAGCAGCAGCAGCAGCAGCAGACAACATTCAAAAACACAGCTGCAGCATTAACATGATATTAATTAATAACACGCACAGGTTATGCCGAGTGTGGCACCTTGCGGGCCACATTAGTGGTAATTATGTGGGGCAGGCGGACTCTGAGGGTGGCTGGCTCGAGGTGGGTGCACATTGCATTGCACCGCCAGCAATCACCAGCAGAACGGTGCCACAGGATCAAGTTGAACCGCTTCAACTGGTCTCGAGACACTTATGATTTCAGATTAGTGCTAGGCACTTGCGACACACTGCCATAGCAGTCGCTGGCTGTGCTTCCAGTTCACATCTTGGCTAACTAATGCTTTCCCACTCCATCTCCCTCTCAGCACCCCACGGCATGTGCATAACGCGTGGCTGGGGCTGTTTACTTGGGCTTGGGCACGAGCCCGGACTCGTGGCTCTTACTCTGGGCTTACTCTGGCCCAGGTGCATTGACTCGAGAGTTATGCCAACACCTTTGGCTGTCTTGACCGCATTTACATTCGCACATTTGGCTTGCAGCTTGCAGCTTGTGGCGTTGCAGCCATTGGAGCATTACCCCAAAAGCTCGTAGTCTCTGCCCCAAAATGGCCAGCTCTTCTGGATGGCATCTGGTGCAAGGCCCAGGCCCAGAAGCAATTATCGGGCTTCTAAAAGCGGAAAGCAACCGCATTTGACCCTCGACAATGGTTCGTGAATCATCATCCACAACAATCGAAACCTGGCCAAGCAATTCAAATCCAAAAAATCAAAAAAATCGCAAAACTGCTTAGAGAGATCACAGCGAAAGGTGTTCGGGGCTCGTTTGGGGCGGCTGTGGGTCTCGATATTTATTAAACGGAACTCAAGCGGCCACTAAAAGCGCGTGAAAATCAATCATGGAAGACAAAGCCCCCCCACTCCATCGGGCAGAGTCAGCGACGCACAATCCAATGTCCGACGCGACGCAAAGCGAAGCTCGTGGCACGAACCACACACCGCACGAACCACTCAACGAACCACAACGAACCACAGCGAACCACTGCGAAATGCGAAGTGCCGAGGAGGCGGCCATGCGTTTGCGCCTTCGTCTATCCAATCGTCTTGTTGCCGATGGTACAAAAAAACTTCATATAAAACGTGGCCGACATATTATGGCCAACAGTCGTAAGCGCGCCACGGTCCACAGAAGAGGATTAAGACACAAGAACTCTATCCATCCAACCATCCAACCAACCATCCATCCAGCCACTTCATACAGAACTCAGGCGTTTTTTTTTTGTTTTGGATTTTTGGTTTTTTTTGGCTCTGCCATCCAACTCTCCTGTGTGTTCCCCCAGTGTTTGATTTGTGCATTAAAACCAAGGGTTTGCCCGCTCCGCTCCGCCGACACCATGCACGCCCAGGACAATGGACGAGTGCTGCCAGCGCTGTCGCTCCTGCTGCTCGCCGTCGCAATGGCACTGGTGGCGCCGACGCAGGCCGCCTACAAGCTGCAGGAGCGCTACAGCTGGAACCAGCTGGACTTTGCCTTCCCCAACGCCAGGCTCAAGGAGCAGGCCATGGCCAGCGGCGACTACATACCCCAGAACGCCCTGCCCGTCGGAGTCGAGCACTTTGGCAATCGCCTGTTTGTCACCGTTCCGCGCTGGCGCGATGGTAAGTGCCCCCACCACAGTGTGGCAGTCCCCCGATGCACTTTTGGGCATCATTAGCACTTGCAAAAAAATGTGTTAAATTGTGTGATTGGTTAATTGCTTAAAAGAGAAAAAAACTCCACTCATTTGGGGAGGAAACACCCTTATGGGGAAACTCCCTTACAGGGAAACTTACCTAACAAATTGAGCGCGTGCCAAGCCTGTACTGTGACTCAGAGCAGTGGAAGAAGTCAACTATTCCTCATATATTCTGGCAGATATATTCTCGGAAGGCTTTCATAAACTCTTCTGGGGCAAAGACTCTTCAATTTAGTTCTAGATTTGCTCACCCTTTTGGTGCTCTCTCTATTCCCTCTGTTCTAAATTATTCATCGCTGTCTTGCTTCCATAAATTCCATAACTCATGTGTCATGGAGGCTCCCTTTACCTTGCTGGAAATTTTCATATGCTCTTCTATTGTTGCCAGAAACTTCTGGATTATTATCCCATTCACAAAATCGATTTCCGGCAGCCTAGTTGTCACACTTTTGTTAGCCTCAGTTTGACCTCTCCCAGATCCGGTTAATACGCGGAGCGCATTCATGTGTTGCATTTACATTTTGAACAATTAACCGTTGTAAAGCCGCAGCCAAGACACGCGGCATTGGTATTATATGACCATATATATATGCGAGTATATATATGTATATTTTATATTGTCTGGCAATTGTGAAGGCTTCTTCAGGGTCAGCCCCAGCCCCACAAATGGAAACCCAATCCAAATACAATCAACATATTATGGCATTATGCCATTAACCAATGATTAGCTTTCAGTTCAATCAAAGTGAGAGTTGCACAGCAAAGCCATCGTCGGCACTCGTAACTAAACATTTGGATCGCATTGTTCTGCTCGGCCAGACGCCAGACAGAGGGCCAAAATGTTGGCAAAACCTTTGGGGCGAAATTACCCAATGGACCCTAGCTAGGGGGGGGGGGGGGGGTCTCTTTTTCACCACATTATATGTAATTCCGGTATTCTGGCCCAGCCTTGAGGGCGAGAATGCAAAGCAACAACAAAAAATATCATTTAAATCTTTTGGGCAAAAGATAAAAAACCCAGAAGGCCAAATCAGCAAATAAAAATAATAGCAAGCAAGAGTACACAGAAATTATGGTAAATGGTAAAGTGAAATGTTTGAGGCACGCTCCAATGGATCGGCGGCAGCAGCAGCAGCAGCGGCCCACAAAAGGCGATCAATTAGCCAAACAAAATCCGCGGTAGCCACAGCAGCAAAACACACAACAAACACACTTAACAGTCAACAATAAACAGTCAATAGTAAACAGTCAATAGTCAACAGTCAATAGTCAACAGCAAACAGCAAACAGCCAACAAAAAACATTCAGGTGCGCTGCAGGCCACCTGCAGTTGACACTTATGAGTGATGGCTTATGGCTAATAATAACGATGGCTTTAAGACCACTTCAGACCACTATGCAAAGTGGCCTAGACCCACGCAAGGGCATTCCACGAGTGAGAGGGTGGAGAAATTCAATCGAAACGAGCCGCGGCGAGTCGAGGCGAGGCTATTAGATCAATTCTCAGTGCCAGTTAAGATGCAATCTCGTCTGACAGTTATCTGTGCGTTTCAGTTCCAGCTGCAGTTCCCACATACTTAATGAACCTCTTACTCAGACTCTGACTCGGACTCGGACTCGCACTTGGGCAATGGTTGGGGAATGGTTGGCGACAAGATTACCAATTGAAATCGAGTCTGAAATTGTAATCGAAATCGTAATGGGATTGAGAATGCAGCTCAGAAACTAAAATTAAATCGAAACTGAAACAGAAACTGAAACAGAAACTGAAACAACAAATTCGCTGGCATTAATTGCACCGAGCTACGGACTCTCGTTATGTGCTGCAAGCCGCCTCGAGTGGGCCGAGACCGGGTCCACCGTTGAACATGGGGAGGCAGGCTGTAATTAAGAGATGATGTGTGGACCATTGGTGTATTTCTTATGGCCAGCGCTAATTCATTCATCAGCATTAATGTAGTCAATCGGTGTGCGAGCACAGCGGGTCATTGCATTGGACCGCATTGGACTGGATTGGCTGTCGGAATGTCGGAAGATATGGTGGCACGGCACCAATTGGCTTATGGAATTTATTTGCCTAATCCCAATACACTGCAATATCCTGCTGAATTGTAGATCTTTCGCAATGCATTCATTTGAATCAAGTTTCCTTTATTTGGAATCCATTTTGTGTTAGCCTTCCATTTTCTTATAAAGTATTTCAGTAGAGTTTTGAGCTAACTTTGCTGGCATCATACAGATAAATGTGTGTTGGGCTTATTTCAGAATTTTATTCAGAAAGTAACAGAATATCAGTTACAATCGCAAAAGATATTTAAGACTAAATTCCTGTGACTTTTATACCTATTTTTCTGAACTGAGTACGGAGGAGGGAAAGTTGCCACATTCCACATTGGGAACGCATTCAAATTCGTATGTTTTTGTGGTTCGGTTCCACTGGAATGTTGCCTCATACGATGCACGCATGACTGCTAAATGCTGCTATTCTGTTTTCAAGCAACGCAATATTTGCCTCAACAGTTAAATGTTTTACTTTAATATAAAACCCAAAGTAATGGCAATTTTCAGTTTTAAGTTTTATGCAACATTTAATAGTCTTTTTGTGTGTGTGTGACTCAGTCGATGCGAGTGCTTCCGATTATAATTACTTGTGGGCCATTTATTTAGCTAGCAAGAAAACAGTTCTTATAATTGTATAGGAAACATGGGCTAGAAATATTATTAAAATAGTAATAATAAAAATAATAGTAGAGCATAAAGTAGAGCATATGAAGAGCCGAGTAAATACAGCCATGTTCGTCTATCCCATTTGCATGAAAGTAGCAGCTCAGTGGTTCATAAATCCTGCTGTAAATTGCTTTTAACTGCAGGCGCTGCACGCAACCCCATCATCATTTGTAGCTGCGATAAGCTCGTTTGGCTTTCAAGATAAGCCAAGATCCAACCAATCGTCAGCTGCTGGTTTTAGCTACGATTTCCGATAACTTGCAGCTAGCAAAAAGGTCCCAATGAAATCACTTAATCAACTGCAATTGCAATGAAAATGATTGATCAGCCATGCAGCGTAAAGCACTGAACGGACCCCCGAGGCTAGCCTTCCATTTGCATGTCGTTAAGTTGTTGCATTTTGTCGCTGGCAAATCGCTTGAAAGCAGTTTTCAAAACATGATTTTTGCCAAGTTTTTTTGCACAGTGTAGGAGTGAAGATTTGCCGCCCAACCCGACTTGGAATAATCCTCTGATCTGCAGACTGCTCGAGCAACGCAAATTGACTTGGATAAATACGAATTGAAAGGCGTTGACCAGGCGGAAAGCCACTGTCATGTCTCTCTGCTCGCAAGCGGCTGATGGATTGGCAAGGGGCTTGGTCGCACGCCCGCTACTGTTGGCTGCCGAGACGAGACCAGTGTCTGGTCGGGTCGGGTCTTGTCTGGCTAAGTGGCCGCATGTTGGCCAAGAGATAGAAGAGCAAGTGCCCCAATGCAATTGGAGCGGAAATCGCTCCACGACGATGATGTCAGCTTTGAGGGGGGGCCTGTGTTGCCTCAGCTTGTTGCAGCCTAATGACATCGGGAAATTGCACGCAAGCTGCAGCGTGTGGCACGAACATGAGCCAACATTCATTCTGACTCCATTCAGCGTTCGCTTGCCAACGGCTTGCCCTCATCCTCAATCCTCTTTTTTGTTTTTTTTTCAGGAATTCCGGCTACGCTGACCTACATCAACATGGAGCACAGTGTGACGGGCTCCCCGGAACTCATTCCGTATCCGGACTGGCGGGCGAATACGGCTGGCGACTGCGCCAACAGCATCACCACCGCCTACCGCATCAAGGTGGACGAGTGCGGCCGTCTGTGGGTCCTGGACACGGGCACCGTGGGCATTGGCAACACCACCACCAATCCCTGTCCGTACGCCATAAACGTCTTCGATCTGACCACCAACACACGCATCCGGCGCTACGAGCTGCCCGCCGCAGACACCAATCCGAACACCTTCATAGCCAACATTGCGGTGGACATTGGCAAGAACTGTGACGATGCCCAAGCCTACTTTGCGGACGAGCTGGGCTACGGCCTCATCTCGTACTCCTGGGAACTGAACAAGTCGTGGCGCTTCTCGGCCCACTCGTACTTCTTCCCGGACCCACTGCGCGGCGACTTCAACGTGGCCGGCATCAACTTCCAGTGGGGCGAGGAGGGCATCTTCGGCATGTCGCTGACGCCGATCCGCTCCGACGGCTACCGCACGCTCTACTTCAGTCCGCTGGCCAGCCATCGCCAGTTCGCCGTGTCCACGCGCATCCTGAGGGACGAGAGCCGCACCGAGGACAGCTACCACGACTTTGTGGCCCTGGACGAGCGCGGCCCCAATGCACACACCACCTCGCGCGTGATGAGCGACGACGGCGTGGAGCTGTTCAATCTGATCGACCAGAACGCCGTCGGCTGCTGGCACTCATCGATGCCCTACTCGCCGCAGTTCCATGGCATTGTGGACCGCGACGATGTGGGCCTGGTCTTCCCCGCCGACGTCAAGATCGATGAGAACAAGAACGTGTGGGTGCTGTCCGACCGGATGCCAGTGTTCCTGCTCTCCGATCTCGACTACTCGGACATCAACTTCCGCATCTACACGGCCCCGCTGGCCACCCTCATCGAGAACACCGTCTGCGATCTGCGGAACAACGCCTACGGTCCCCCGAACACGGTCTCGATACCCAAGCAGGCCGGACCCGGCCACTCCGCCGTCGGACCGCCGCTCTACACCAACCAGTATCGTCCCGTGCTCGCGCAGAAGCCGCAGACCAGCTGGGGCCCCTCGCCGCCCAGCCGCTCCTATCTGCCGGCCCTCAACGGCAATCCCGGCGCCCCCGGCCAGGTGGTGTCCAGCGTGAGTGTGTCGACGAACACCGTCGGCCCGGCCGGCATCGAGGTGCCCAAGGCGTACGTGTTCAACCAGCACAATGGCCTCAACTACGAGACCAGCGGGCCCCATCTCTTCCCCACCCTCCAGCCGGCACCGTCCCAGCTCGGGGGCGGTGGTGGACTCAAGACCTATGTGAATGCCCGACAGTCGGGCTGGTGGCACCACCAGCACCAGGGCTAGACGAGAGCCGGGACCAGTGTCAGAGCTGGCTCCCCCAACCAGCCGTAGGATTGCTGTGGGATATTTGGAGAACAGAAACAAACGGAATTCCTAGGGCCACACCACAAATACTGCACACACACACACTCGTATGATATGTATGTACCTTCACCTTCACTTGCTGTACTATATGTACATATGTATGTATATGTAATAGACACTGAAATGCGATTTCCATTTACTTGTAGTTTGTAATCTAAGCAACAAATAAATTTATTTTTTTTTGTTATTTACTTGGCTGCTTTGGGGCAAGCTTGAAGGTTTTCTTTTTCTACTTTGGGCTTCTGGCTGCTGCATTGTTAATGTTTAAGGGAGAATCAAAACCCATCCACAGCATCACTGGCACTAGCACAAGTCCCATTCCCAGCCCCAGAAGGCTGCTTGGGATGCTCACCATTTTCTGCATTTCAATTACAGACTTCCATCATCAGCATTCACATTTACATACATTATCCCCATAGTCAGCATCAGCAATATGCGCACTGGGTCTAGGGTCTAGGATCTAGCATAGATCAGAGCCAGAGAAGGAACTATTGCGGGTATTTTTACGGGTATGTGAATGCGAGTGTGCCGGAAAAAATAAGCGATCCTGTCACATGCAGGGAGGGTGCTGGCATATTCCAAATGGAATACATGAATCTATAAGTTCAAATATAATATAAAATAAATTCCACTAATGAGAGATTTCTATCTTTGGCACTAGACCTGGCCTTGTCGTGGTACTGGCGGAGTTTTTAAGCCCCGGACACGGAGCCAGTCTCTTCATTTATATACTTCAATAGTCGTATAACCCTCCCGTTGGCATTTAAATCAGTGCCTCATCGAGTTCTCATCGACCGTAAATGACTTTTGGATGCCAAGTTTGGTTGTCAAACACCTCGGCTTAAAAATTATTCGACTGCAACTAGCAGGCCATGAGATCGCTCGATTTTTGCCCTTTGTCTGGACCCTGGATATTATTCCGAAAATATTCAGTTCAGTACTGTTCGTAGCAGAGAAAACATCTAATTTTTTCCGGGAAAAAAACAATACAAAATTCCAAATTCGAAGTATGTAAGTGAAGACTAAAATGTCGTTTTTGAAAAATATTTCTTGAAAAGTGAACTAAAATTAAAGTGAATAAAAAGTTTTAAGTGCGCGCGCAAAGTGAGTGCAAATTCTAAATTCAATTAATAATACAATTGGTTTTGGATCAGCCCAATGCATTAACTAGTTAGCTTAAATAATTTGTATTAAGTATAATTGAATTTATAAGTTTTCGTTTACTTCTAGTGTCCGCCTTTCGATCCCACATGCTAAAACGACAGAAAACTCGAAAACATTTTAATTATTATTTTACTTTAAACTGACACATTTGTTTAAGCGTGAGTGTGTTGATTATATTTTTGATTCGGGGCATCCATTGAAATTGATTCCAATTCCAGGCAGAAACAGATGATTAATTGTTTGGCATTGCTGATATCATGGACACTTTCTGGCGATCACATGCATTTTGGATGGCCATTTCAATCCAAGCTACATTATTTTACACCGTTAAGGATCATCAGGCACTCAACGTCACACCTGATTACATTTTTTTTTAATTCACAGGTGAGTAATTTTAATGTGATGTTAATGTCGTTTAATTCACCATAATTTCATTTACTTTCAACAGTCTCTTCAAAGCCTTTAAACCAATGGTAACTAATGTTAACTGTTAGTTTCGGTGTGGTACCAATGCCTCAGACAAGGGGCTGCGAGTGGCTTGCACACGAAATGCTCCAACGCAACGCACACACATTGTAATACACTTCTGTCTATGTACGCACACACACATGTAACTACCGACTTTGCCGCTATTTATTTTAAGCTGCTGCCCCTAGATATTCTATGCATATAATTCATTTAATTGTTCTGTATTAAATAATAGCCGAAATCTGTTTTACGTTTTCTCTTGTGAATGCAAGGAGAGTGGAAGGCAACATCCAAAGACTTTACAATAACAAGATGCTTCATGGTAAGGGCGCGCGGGGCTATTTCTGCAACTCTCTTTTAGGCTCTGAACTTCAGAGTCTAAAAGTGACACTGGCTTCGTCAATGCAAAAGTCTTTGTCGCGGCACAGTGGGGACTCAGCCGAAAAAGGGTTGCACAGGTCAAAAATTGTATGAGCGCTTTGGATAAAACGAAAATACGCAGAATTTTCCAGAGCTTTCAAAAATTTTATTTTAAAGAATTTTATTTTAGGAAACATGTACATACATATGTATATAACCAAAGTTGAAAATTGAAATACATATGTATTGAACTCTCTTGCTCGCCTATTAATTTAGCCAGCTGACATAGGCAAAGGCCCCACTGTGCGAAAGCATGCACATGCATGCGCAGACGCAGCCGTTGGTGAGCGCGCCCGAGGTGAGAGACGAAGCATAGCCGAAAAGAAAGCCCGCGCGCTCCCTCTGTACATGGGACGTAGCGATAAGTCACGCCATAGAACCGGTTTTTTGGTCGCTCATGCAGCATCTTGTTATCTTGTTATTGTATAGTCGTTGATACCCCGCGCGATCCCTCTGTCCATGGGCGTAGTGATAAGCTCTTTGGACGCTCATCTCATGCAGCATTTTGCTTTTGTATGCCTGCCATGGACGTAGCGATCAGCTTTTTGGTCGCTCATCTCATGCAGCATTTTGCTTTTGTAAGCAATCACATTTAGAGCTGGATTTTTCATTGCATACTTTGAAGGCCGCTGCATACTTTCGGAGCGGATGAGTGAAAAAACTCGTTGCTGCCAGACTGGTTTTGGGGGCGCATGCAAATGTAATCCCAGCAACACCCCCACACCACACCCCACCACACACACAGCAGCTCATAGCGATGCGAATTCTCGTGTAATTACAAGTGTGTGGCCACATCGAGGCTCAGCCGAAAAGCCAACAATAAATGCTGGCTATCCGAACCATCACCGCAGCCATGATTTATTCCACACTGGTGTTTCCTTCGAGGGCGTGACGGCGCACTGGGTCCCAAAACTTTCGAAAAACAAACAAAAGGGGCACTCGCGAGACAGCAAGACAACAAGACAAACATTTATTTGCTTTTTGATTAAGGATGGACCACTGCACTTCTCGTTCGACTGCGGACTGTGGATGGGACAGCAGGATGGGATGGGATGTGTGCGAAACACTTAACGCCGAAAGTGAGCAAAACAACACTTGCTCTATTAACACGCCAGACGCCAGACGGCAACTGGACTCCCCGAACTGTCTGAAATATTTATTGAGAAACATTAAGGTAGCCAAGTCTCAGTCGCAGTCGCAGTCCCCCTGCCCTGCTGTCCTGCTGTCCTCCTGGCCAGCGCTGGCTTAACGAGAAACCAAGTTGCGCGAATGGAACGGAACGGGACGGATGTTCGTACGGGTCGTACGGTTCGTACGTGTAGCTAATTTGCGGTTGAGATCTCGTGCTGAGGTCCCAGTTTAGGTCAACAGATCCAACATGATTTACATAGCCCAAAAAAGGATGGAAACCGCATCGGCGCATGCAAATTATAGAAATTTTGCGCTGCTGCCCAAAACAAATATTGTGATAGTCGATGGGGCACAACGATCCCATCCCTTTGGTGGTTTTGTTTGGTTTTGCTTGGGTTTGGGCTTGGGCTTGGGTCGTGGGCCTATCATTAGGCGATCCGATCCGAACCGATCCCTAAGCAATCTGGTTATTCAAATGCAATAAATCCGGCCAAATAAACGGCGCTAATTTCATGTTAGACGCTTTAATTTCACGCTGCCATTTGCGGCTTCCGTTTCGCATGAGTTCTGCCCTCGAGATTGGGGGATATTTGCATTCGCTGTAGGTGTAGCTGCAGCTCGGCCTCGTTTGGGCCTCGTTTCAGTGGCCAGTGGCAGCCAGTGGCAGCCAGTGGCAGGGCATCCCTGTGGCGCTGTGTATCGTCAAACGACTGCGCTTTTGTCTGAACTAAGCGCGGCCACTAAGCGATCCTAGAGGCGAGAGTATGTTGATGCGGCTTCTCTGGTGCTGTTGCATCCAGCTGATAGCGGGTGCGGCGGCCTCATTAATAATTACACACAAAAAGCAGCAGCAGAAGCAGCAGCAGCAACAGCAGCCACAGTGCTGCTTGTGGCATCCTCATCAACGGCCTGCCGCTTTAATTGAAGGCGCCAAAATCAGGCGGCATCATAGCTGAGAGGAGCCGCCACCGCTGTGCCACGATCCCCCAGTTATACAAAGTCGTCTCAAGCTGTTTCCGTCGCCTTGAAAATGAATGCAAGTGGAAATGGGCAATGGGAATGGGCAACGGGAATGGGATTGGGAATGTGTTGCTCGTGTTGCATCTTCGTAGCTGTAACGACGAGCAAGTACCTATCCGATCGTTGCAATAATTAACTCATAAATATAAATATCAAAAATGGCATAAAATGGCGCTAGATTTGGTCACATTTATACCATTACCAGTACCAGCAGGAGTGAGCATTATTTATGTACATTTTATTCCCATGCCATTTCTAGGGTATCATCATTCGTTGCCTCTTTCTGTCGCTCTGCCACATGGCTGAGGAGTTTCTTGATTTCAATTAAATGCCTAGCAAATCAAAACTTTTTATGCATATTAATCAAAGACTTAATTGATTCGGCAGCAGCGGCAGAAGGTCGCAGGAAGGCGTGAACGCAGCTGAGCGCAGCTACCCAGGGCGGATGAGCTCTGGGTCCCAGGAGTAAAGATCTGCTTTTAATTGCACTGGGAATGGGAATGGGATCGAGAATGGGAGCAGCAGCGAAAGTCAATTTCGATCGCTCAATTAAAGCTTGGAACTCGGCGCTGATGTCCGTTGATCAGATGTGCGGATGACCCTCTTTTATGGGTCCCCGTCCCAAAGTAAACAGTCGAATCAGCGAAATTGTTTGCATTGCTGTGGTCCGGGGGGCACGCATCCCAGCTATTCCTGGTTGGTGGCAATCCCATAAAAAAAAAAGAGTGACCAAGGGAACTGTCGCTGCAGATAGCGGAGCGTGTAGCGTGTAGCCGCACAAAGAGATACAATTGTATCTGTGCATCTACCGCTGGCTCTGGCTCTGACGCTGACGCTGACTCTGGCAGGTAGAGGTTGATGGCCAGGCCAGGCCAGGCCAGACCAGTCAAACCATCCCAGCTGCAGCTGGGCACAAGACCAACCAACTAATGCACTTGCAATCCAATCTAATCGTTTGCCAAATGTCAAACGAGTTTCATTCATGAGAGATACCCATTCCCAGTTCCCAGTTCCCATACCCAGTTTCTACCTTGCTATCCCATCGCTGGGAGAGTTCATTCAGTTGTTCGATAAGTCCGGTTGCGTTTTCGATTCGTTTCGGCTTGGCAGAGTTTCATTTCCGATATGACAAACACGCGTGAAGAGCGTCAAACGTTTGGATGCCTTATCTGGGGCACCGGCCATGGTTTAATTAAAAGGTTATTCTTGTATGTCGCCGGCTTGGCAGGATAACGGCTCAGTCCGAGGCATATCCCCTGCCAGATATCCCCATTTGATTGAGTTGTCTGACTCTGCCACAACCCCTTCTGCCACTGCCTCTTACACACTCTGTGACTGTGTCTGTGTGTGTGCCTGTATCTGTGTGTGTGTTTGTTTTCCCTTTATCTTAAAGAGTTTCTTTAGTCGATTGGCGACCCCGACCTTGCCGCACTGAAAACTGAAAGTCAACCGCAACCCAACGAGACGACTTCGTATGGGATCTCCTCTGGGATCTCCAACTGTAACTGCAACTCCGACAACAACGACCACAAATATTCGGTGCACAGGTGCCAGGTGAGAATTGACAAATTTCCATTTCGTCAATTCAATCAATAAAGCTAAAGCCGAGTCGAGTCGAGTTGAGTTGAGTTGAGTGGAGTCGAGCAGAGGCAACACCTCGGACTGGGACTGGTAGCTGGTAGCTGGCCGCCAAGGCCACTCGGAAACCGCTTTCAATTAAATTGGGGCACACTTTTGCCTGCGGTCTCTCTCTCTCCCCGCTCTCTGCAACATCATCATTTCGATCATCATCATCATTTCTGCTGCCACTGCCACTGCCACTGCTGCTGCTGCTGTTGTTCCCCTGCGGCCACTGTGTGCCTCCAGTGTGAAAATGAAATTGTTGCCCAAGGCGGTGGCAGTCCCCAAACCAAGTCCCACTCCACACCGATCCCCAGGCTCAATTTCTCAACAGCAGCAACAAAACCAAAAAAAATTATGAAAAAACCAGCTGGAATTTTTAGCAGCATAGACGAAGCGCCAAATACTCTTACACAGAGCTCTAACCAGGTGGATGCATAATAGATTTAATACTGATAAATATAGGAGAGATTTAGTTCTGGCATGGGAGCTATAATATAGCTGCTGAAACTTCATTCCGCCTGCTGATCAATGTCAGAGTAACCCACACACCCCGAAAGTGTAGCAAAAGAAAACAAAACAAGTAGAGAAAAGGAAAGAAAAACTGGTACGAGTAGTTAGCTACTTTTACCAGATCGTTGACAGTATGGTGCCAGTGCCAGTGCAGGGTGAGGGGTGTGGGGGCAGAGAGAGAGAGAGAGATCATATTGAAATTGAAACTGCTGAAACTGCTGAGACTGCTGAGACTGATGGAAAGTTATGGCAGTCGTGCCTCTGTTATGGCCAACCCAAACCCAAACCCAACCCAACGATGTCCAGCACATAATGATGACGAGCCACGATCACCGCGATGGCTCCAGATTATGGGGCGGCCCAGTCTATTCAATCGATCACATATGGGACGGGCGGGACAGACAGGCTCCTAGCGGGTGCAGCGGGTGAAGGCGGGAAGGCGGGAAGGGCGAGAGAGAGTCATTAAGTTTCTGGACAGGAAATATGAGAACGTGTGAATGAGATCTACAAGAAATTGAGTCCACTCAATGAGTC